TTTGTTATGAAAAAAAAGTCAATGGGAAATTAATTTCCAAGTCATGTGCATGAATATTGATGAAAAGCATAAATTCAATTCAATGCAGACTATTATTACTGCTGTAATTGGGGCCGTTAGGAGCTGAAGCTCTTCTCTGTCACTTAAGGTTGCTGGTAGTAAGCAAATACCTGAACGTGAAGTGTAAATGTGTGAGTAATGCCTGAAATGCTCTTCTGGGGTGGCCAAGCAGCACCCTTCCCCGGCATCCCCCCAGATCATCCACGTTTTTGGTGTAGATGAGAAGCAGCCCCAGGCTGGCAGCCTTGACTGATCGCTGTCGCTGCTGGTTTGGGGATTCCCAGATGGGAAAGTCCACATCCTTCAGCACTGATCCCATGGGTGGGTGCCTCTGGGGGCACGTCCATGCCCACGTGCTGCGAGGCTTGTTGCCGGAGTATGAGAGGGGAGGGGACGGCCAGGCGTGTGCGGTGGGGCCCTGCCTGGCACGGCCAGGAGACACAAGTGTTGTGCTCATGTTTCTCTCTGTGCGTGGCTGGAGCACCCCCGAGAATGTGTTATGTTTGCACTGAAGTTTGAAGAGCTTCTACAACACATAGATGCCTGGTGCTGTTCTAAGAGATAAGCAGGAGGGCAAGGGGTCTACATTCATGCTCTGTATTGAGCTTGGGGACAGAGGGACTGGCAATCCTGTGCACCCACTACTCGGCTCCCACTTCACATATGGTTCCTTCCATGTGCTTCTTCACTATTTTGGCAAATCAGACCCAAACCAATTACTTTGTGCCTTGGAGCAGCTGGGAATTAATTGCTTCTTGTGGCTCAAACTGGAGGGGATAAAAGTTACTGTTAACTACCAGTTCACAGCCTGCTCTCTGGCCTGTGTCCCTCATGGGTTTGGCTCCCTGGCATATAAGGGCAAGCAAGAGCACCTTTGGGATTGTACCTGGCAGCATTTCTCCCTTGTGGCAGGAAGGACTTTTTACCCTATTAGTTGTATTTTGCTTTAAAAAACTGCCAGTGGCATATCTAAGCTCCTTGAAGGACTCTCTGTGAAGGATGGAGATGCTGTCTCAGCAATATCCTCCTGCAAATGACAATTGATCAAATCTCCTTTTCTTAAATACTTTCTTAGTTTTGTATTTTGAATCTGGCATAATTATTAGTTACCCAAAAATCTGTGTTCAAAACCCATGCTGTAAAGCTGAGGCACAGCTTTACAGAGAGATTAGTAGCTTATATTAATAATGGATTAGTAATGATCCATGGTTACACCCACATTTGCTGTGGGACTTCAACTCGTTCTGCAGGCTGGGACTCTCCCCTGCTTCCTACTGCTCTTTCTACTTGATCTGCATTACTGGTTGGGTACCAGTGGCAAAAAATCTTCTCAGCTGCACCCCATTTTTTGGTTTTGCTCAGAGGAGGTGACCTGTCAAGACCATGCAGAGCTGCAAAAGCCGAGCCAGGCTGTGCAATGGTTGGGAGGATTGGTGTTGGGCAGTGGCATTCCCTGGTTTCCCAAATTTTGTGGCAGAGCAGGGTAGGAGGAGCCATGTTACATGGACCTTTTGCCATGTATCAGGCAGGTAGCAGAGGACCAGGTGTGAAGTGGAACAAGGACATATTCTGTGTTAACAGAAGACCATTTCTTTTTAAGACAGAAATTAAATCCATGGAATTACTAATTAGAAGAGGACAGACTTAGAGTAGATGTAAGGAAGAAATTTTTGACTCTGAGGGTGGTGAGACATTGGAACAGGTTGCCCAGGGAAGTTGTGGGTGTTCCATCCCTGGATGTGTTCAGGACCAGGCTGGGCAGTGCTTTGAGCAACCTGGTCTAACGGGAGGTGTCTCTGCCCATGGCAGGGGATTAGAACTCGATGATCTCTAAGGCCCCTTCCAACCCAAACCATTCTATGATTCTATGATTGTTATGAAACAAATGTAAAGGATCATCATGATTTCTTCTAAATGTGCTTTTAAGATTTTATTTATCCAAAAGAATTGATTTCCATAGCAATAGCAAAAGCTGGGAGTAGTTACTGGAATGGTTTGGTTGTACACAATTAATCTCACTCAAATAAAACCTGCAGCCCCAGTTTATGTCTGGGCTGGCTTCTTCCCCACTGAATCCTCTCGGAAGAGGAAGCTCCAGGTATTCTGCCTCTTTAGAGCAGCAAATGGCTAAATTAGCTTTCAGGAAACATTTAATGGGCGTGCGACATGAAATATCAGTGTTGCTGTATGTAGGTTTATTAGCTGAGCTGCTGGAATTGTTTTCTGAGCTATGCTGATCCTTAGCACTGATTGCAAAATGGAACAGAAATTATTTATTAGTCCTCAGGAGCCTTAGGACAGAATAACACTTACTTGGCTGGAAACACAGTCAATCTTGTCATTACAGATGCTGCTGCGTTTGAAGAACCAAAGAGCCTGATTTTGTGGTTGGTAGCAAACATTTTTAGAAGTCTTCTGGCAGGGACAGGCCTGAGTTGTTCTGAAGGGTGGAGATGGCTGTACTGCAGATCTTGAGGTTGTTCTGAAAAAAAAGCCTGTGTAAATATGAGTCAGGGCAGGGCTTTGTATTTCAAAAAGAAAGATGTGCCATCCCCTAGCAGCAGTGGTTGATCCTTGAAGGTATTCCCAGTCCAGCAGAGCTGTGTCGAGTCCCAGTGAGACCATGTCATTCCATCTTGGGAACCCCCACAAATGGCTGTTGAAAATACTATAACTAAAATCTGGTTTAGTTATGTTGCACTCTAAGTGGTAAATTTTTATGAGAAAAATTTCAAAATGGGAATGTTCTTTTTAAATCAAGCCTTGAAGTGAGTTGGTAGTTTTCGTTTTAAGATCTGAGCAAGCCAACCAGTTTTGTTATTCTGCAACACCATGTAATGTCTGTCTGTCAAATATTTCAAGTTATATAACTTGGAAAAAAAAAAAAGCTGAGGAAAGACTCTTTACAAGAGCATGTAGTGACAGGATGAGGGGCAGTAGTTTTAAGCTAGAGCAGGTAGAGTTAGATGAGACTATAGGAGTTAGCTCTTTAGTAAGAGGGTGGTGAAACACTGGATTAGGCTGCCCAGAGAGGTGGTGGAGGCCGCATCCCTGGAGACATTCAGATCAGGCTTGATGGGGCTCTGCGCCACCTGATCTGATTGAAGATGTCCCTGCTTACTGCAGGGGGCTGGACTTTTAAAGGTCTGACCTTTAAAGGTCTCTTCCAACCCAAAGCATTCTATGATTCTATGAACATAGGGGCTCCAAAATGTTACTTTCACAAGGTCATAGAAGGAGGAAAAAAAAAAATAAAATCCATCCCTTACAAGATTTCCTTTGGTAACTAGACAAGAAGTATGTTTGGAAAAGCAGTCCTGTCATAGTGCCTCTTCAGCTTTGGTCCACAATCTTTAGCTGCTGGAGACACAAAACCCAAAAATAATCAGGTAAAACCTTCATCCTCTGAATGGCTCACCATGAAGCCAGCCCCTTCTATCCCTCCCCAGTGGGGACTTACAGATCAAGAGGAACACATTTCTGCTGCCATTTTTAGGGCAGAAGGAGGTTCCTTGGGAGAAAACTTTGAGCAGTTTGTGGGTTTTTGGCTGCCTCCTGAAGCCCTTTGCCAGGAGGCTGCTAGAAGCTCAACTCATCCTGGTACATAGCAGAGAACAGTGATGAGAACTGCTCGCACTTCTTTTAAAAAAAAAAAGTAATCAGTCAGTAATAGTAGTACTCAAAAACCTAATTACTTTTGATATTTAAAAAAGGACCTGCATCATTCAAAAGAGCATATTTTAGCCAATTTTACTGATTATGCCTCCAGTCATGGAGAGTTTTGTTTGTATTGATCTAATCCAGGAGTAGGAATGATTCCAGAAATGCTATTGTGGTCTGGCTCACCTTTTGCTTAATTAATATTATGTCCATTTCAAAAGTTTACATACATTGAGATTAGTTTGCTCGCAGGTAAGAACAACCCACAAGCTTTGGTAAAAAGGAAAAGTGCCTGCAAAAAGAAGAAAAAGCCCAGCCCCCACTTGACCATTTCAGCAGCCTTGCTGTCCTGGCAGGCCGGGAGCTGCGTGAAAAGCTGCTGTTGTAAAATGCTGCTTCTGTGTTTCTCCTCCACATTAATTTTTGTCATTCCTCGGTGTACAGCAAGCTGATAGACTGGGCTGAGCTCTGAGTCGGCAGTGGCTTTGAACTGGACTTCAGAACTTAGAGCAAGAGTTGTGTAATATTGAAGGGCATCTTCTGAAAACTAACTGTGTTTCCTAACTCATCTGTCATCTCCACTGCACATTGTCTGGTGACTTGTGGAAAGACAATGTGGTTTTTGTTGTTGTCTTTGTCCTATTTCAATGCACAAAGCTGGGAAGAGCTACAGTCTTAACAAAATTGATGGGGAAAACAATGTTAGGTGTAAGTCTTCTGCTCAGGTTGCTCTTGGCTTGTCCAACAGCCCCTTCTAAGCATCAGCTGAGCAGGGAAAATTTTGGATTGCCCCTGTCAGCTTGGATGCATCGGTCTCTCCAGCCTTACTTTAGCCTTCCTTAGTCTGTGACTGGCACATCTCTGTTCAGCGTCTGGTTCTGTTGTTGGTGGAACTGGTAGGAACTTCTCTGAGACATGAGTTTGGCCTTCCTAAAGGACTGGGGTCAATTAGTTTTGCATTTTTCCTGCATTTCTGCATTTTCAGCCTTTCTGCAGTTGGCGGTAAATATCAGTACTTCATCCTATCTGGTGAAGTGTGTTTAAATTGCTGAGATGATCATGGACCATATTTGTACCTTCCTATCTCTGCTGCTGATACTCAAGTTATTTGTTGTGCTGAGTTGTTTTTTTTTTTTTTTTTTTTTTGCAGGACCAGATCCTGTGAATAATTTAGGATTTTTGTTGCAATTGCCTTCATCCCTGGATAGAGACTTTCTTTTCTTCTCTGTTCCTGTGCCACTCTCCCACACTTATCCTGTCTGTCCTGTGGTTTCTTGCAGTGTGTGCTGGCACGGAGAACAAGCTGAGCTCCCTCTCTGACCTGGAGCAGCAGTACCGGGCCCTGCGCAAGTACTATGAGAACTGCGAGGTAGTTATGGGCAACCTGGAGATCACCAGCATCGAGCACAACCGAGACCTCTCCTTCCTGCGGGTAGGCAATCCTCTCGTCTCCCTCCCTCCAGCTCCTGCGTTCCGGAGAGTAGCTACAGGTGCTGGCCTGGAGAAGGGCAGCTAGAGTTTAGGAAGGTCAGAGAATCATGGAAATGAACACTGGAGGCTTGGAGAAGCTCATCCCAGTAAAATGCTGGACTGATTGGTGGACTAAGCAAGGGAAGAGCTCTGGGCAATGTTTGTGAAGCATTTTAGAAAAATGAAAAAAAAAAATAGTGATTGCTGAATGAACATAAAACCCTCGTTGTGTATGAGATTTGAGTTCTAAGCCTAATTGAATCTCCGGTATCTGTGGGAAGTCTGGGATAGATGAAGTTTGTTCTGCTACCCTGGAGCTTGGGTTGTGCTCTCCCTCAGCCCTCCTTACATCATATTTTGAGTAAACATCATACTTTTGGATTTGTGAAGGGAAGTTTCAGTGTGGTTTGTAAATACCTTGTTGAAGCGCTAGCAACCACGAGGAGGGAAAGGTGAATGCCAAATTAACAAAATTTAAGCCCACCATTATTTGGCATTCCAAAACTAACCATGTTTGAAGAAATTCCCCAGAAAAGGAGTGATCCGGTGCACTCAGGTGCATGTCTGAGGACGCTGCAGATGATATGGCTACAACATGGAATAAACTGGTGTGAGTGCCATAGTAGATAAGGCAGCCCATGGCAGCGTGGTTGCAGGCAGTGCTGGTTGTGCCCTCCACCAGCAGAAGTGAAGCCATGACACCCATAAAGGGTTTCTGATGCTGGCACCATGTGACATTGCTCATGTGTACTTCTGCAGACACTGGTGCCATGTTTCAGGGTGTGTCTGTATGGGGCTGGCGTGGTCATAAACAGCACATAGGGGAGAGCTGAAGTTTAAACGTGGCAGCAGGAAGAGGGCAGCAGGAGTCAGCCCCAGTGGGTTGTGTTACACTCACTCGTTGGGTTTGCTGGGTCTCGAGTGAACCTGCAGCTCAATTTCAGTTTGTAAAAACGTGAACTTTCCATTACAAGGTCTAATAAAGGCAAAGCATATTCTCCAGCAGCATGCTTAACTTTGCCTCATGTTAAATTTGTTGGGGATTTCACAGGATTTCCACTCTATACGTTGGCCTATATTTACTCAAAGTGTACACCAGGCTGCTAAAAGGTCTGCAAGCAAAATTCAGCTACCAGCTATGTCTGGAGTAAAGTTTGAGGTGCTAATTGCACTCAGACTAACAGGTTGCCTGTTAATTTGAGCAACGAATGCCTAGGAAGTAGAGGCTATCTATACATTTCACAGTTGTGACAGGTGGGGAAAACATATATGCTTGTGCTCTGAAATAGATGCAGCCTTGGTGCAGCTGGACTAACATCTCCCAGCCCATCAGGCAGCAGCCAAATGCCTCCTGTGAGGGCAGGATCCTCACACTGCTGGAGTTTCAGATGCCTCCTGAAACCCCCGACTGGGCCATCGTGCGTGGCTTGAATTCCTCATGGATGGTTCTCCCACTTGGACTTTCCTTCCTTCTCATGCTGCCTACTGGAAGATAGGAAAAGCAAATTATATGCAAATTAGGGAATTAACGTTCCTTGTGGGGACCTGCCATAAGCAGAGTAAAATATTGGTGAAAAGTGGGCAGTAAAATTGGCAAATGAGAGCAAGAAAGAAGGGCTTTATGTAGTAAATGAAGGTGGGTCGGTCACTTGTGCTTTTTGGTGACAGCTACTATCACTTTTTTATGAGTTTTATTACTTCTCTTACCTGTGTGTGCCCTTTTACAGATGTCTCAGCAAAAAGCAGAACTTGAAACAAACCTCAGCAATCTGGAATTCTAGTTAATATGATAAATTGTAGTCATTAAAATAGAAAACCAAACAGAGAAGAACATGTTCTTGGGGAGGCAAATAAATAAATAAATGTTGGCATATTTACGCCGATAATTCAACATTCATTAGTTAGGCAGTGTTACTTGTTTTATCATTTTAAAAAAGGTTTTAATGCCCAAATGAAGGTGGCAGATGGGAGATAACTAAAATAAGGGCTGTTTGTCTCTCTCAGAGTTAAATATGGTGAACTTGTCATGCAAGATGATGCTTCTCCAGCCTGCTCCAATGTTCCTTAGTCTCTGTTGCAATAATTGCCCTCTTCTCCCCCAAACAGACTCGGGCAGGCAGTTGAGGCACCCCTGGGTTATCTTTACATCTGAGGAGTGCTGTGTCTTGGGTGCCTACCTGCCTTCCTGTTAGTGCCTGGCTTCCCTGGGCAGCCTCTCATGCCAACACGGAGGGAAGACCTAGCGAGCTAGGCATCCTGAGCCTTTTTATCATGCAATAATAAACGAATGCCATAAATGAATTGAAGTGAAAAAAACCCATAATTTTATTTACCCTGCAGAGGAACATTAAAAGATCAGCATACCATCTCTCATATTTATTTAGACATTTATTCCCTAAGTAGATTTGCTTTATGTCTGGGAGTTAGCTCTCTGGATATCTTCTGATTATGACTAAAAAGGGTTGCCTATCACCTCAATGAAGTGCTCAAGCACTTAAACTTCCAGGGCTGCTGGCGGGTGCTTGGCTTTGAGATCAAGGGCTTTTTTCCTAGTATTCTTGTATGTGTACAGAACAGGAGTATAAATCTTCTGTTTTCATTTCACGTACTTTATTTTTGCTTCTGGTGGTGTTATAGTCTTGGTATTGGTTGCCCGTGGGTGGCCAAAACAAGGGTGAGCAATTGGAATGTGAAGTTGTCCTCTGCTTGCACTACTCTCCAGCTCCATCAGCTCTGTTCCTGCTGCTCCGTGCTTCCCTGCACCATGGCTACTACTGGGAGTCCTGGCAGAGGCAAAGGAGCACTGAGTAGTAGGAAAAAATGTCTAAACCTGAGTGCTGGGAAAGGCAAGACGTTTCTGACTGCGGGCTGAGAGCTGCTTTTCTTTGTTTCTGAGGCTCAACCTACCCACAGAAAATGTACCCTGGGGTAATGCACTTTTTGGAGTCCAACCACCCCAAGCCTGGGCAATAGAACGCGGCAATGCACAGCACTGCTGCTGGAGGAGCACCTCCCTGTCATGGTCAAGGCAGCCTCTCCCCTGCTGTAGGTGCTGCATTACAGAAAGGCACTTAATGTTTCTGAGAGTGTGATGGAATGGGGCAGGACAAATAATTGGGTAGAAAATAGGCTGGAAGAGCTCCTTTATCCCTATCACACATCCAGGCTCCCAGCAAGTCAGCAGTGACAGTGGGAAGAAGTCAGGCTCCCTCTCCCTCTGCTTCCCAACCCACCAGCATCCTTCAACTAATTGCATGGGCCAGACTTTTGCATGAGGACCTGCTCCATGAAACTAGATAAGCTGGTTGAGCTGGAGTGTGTCTTGAGTTGTGGCAAGGCCAGGGGTGAGATCTATTTCCTTGCTTTGGATTTCAGAAAAAAAAATCTTGAGAGAAGCTCAGATCATACACTGGTTCATATTAGAAACAAACATTTGGTTTTGGAAGCAGGAACCTATTTTACTTCCACTTGGCAAAGCTGAGAGTTTGTATTGTGGACAGTTCTTATTTCTTAATAGCATCTCTGTATTCCATTTCTGAAATGAAATACACAATTAGTATACCACAGAACAATCTTCTGCAAGTACTCTTATTCTGTTAAACACATTTGGTAAAGGGGAGTTATCTTTGACTAATCCCCAGGCTTTTAGCAATTCACAGTCAGTAAATTGTCTTCAAGCGCCTGGATTTTATTTAACCAATTCAGTTTATTTATTTTTGAAGACGTGACCAAAATTCGGTGCTGTTCCCTGCAGTAACTCTCCCAAATGATTATGATGCTGATTTCTAACTGCAATCAACAGCCTTCAAAAATGATCTACCACTGCTTTATAAATTTTTCTTTTCTTTCTTTTCCCCCCCTCTGTAGCACCCTGAGGCAGAGCTCCGCCGGCAGCTCCCTGCCTGCCGTTTAACGGGGGCACGTTTTGTGGTGGGCAGCTTTACAGCTGCTGGGGTCCCTCCCTTTGTCAGCAAACCTAACTGCGTGCTCGGTGAAAACCTGCACCAGCCCCTGCTGACCTCTTTCCTTACAATCACAGTGCTACTTTGTGACTGATGGAATTTGGGCATTTGGGTTTTATATATTTTTGCTTCTGGTTGTGTTAGAGCCTTGGAGGAAGACTGGGTCACACAGACCCCTCCGAGGGGAGAGGACTGCTACAACAGCCATGGGAAGAGTTGGTTGCAAACCATGCTGCCTGGCCCCTAGGCATTCAGAGCTGCTTTTTGGTCTTTTTATAGCAAAACAGGTCTAGGCAGACCCTTCTGAAAGCTCTGGCAAAGAGCTCAGCAAAGATGCAGTCACAGAGGGAGCCTGCAATCTGAACAGACGTGTTGGGAAGGGCGGCTCAGAGACAAGAGGGTGTTGCCCTGTCCAGTTTGTTCTGCAGATCACTGTGATGATACGTATGGCTCCTGAAGGCCTGGAAGCACAGCCCTGTGTCCTCTTCTGTAGCAGAATTGCATCTTATTTCCCAGCTCAGCAGAAAGGGAGTATGATGTGGGGTAATGCTTGTCAGGTATCCCTCAGGAAGAGAGGCTACAGGGTGGCTGTGCCTGTATGGAGAGGGATTTTCCGCAGACATACTTGTAAAGCATTCCAGTCTGGCCCCTACACCAGCACAAGGATCTGGTGGGAGGGGTTGCTGGGCAAAGCTCCCCTGTAGCATTTGTTCCCCAGTGAGTTGCATCAGGAAAGCCTCACCAGCATTTTATTCTTGGCTGTTAGGAGGCAAAGCAGCTTCCAGGTAGTTACAGACCTGGAAATCAAATAAGTGTATTTTTAATTGGCCTCCCAGGACCTTACCCTTTAGGGAACAAAGAGTAAAGAGCCAGCAATGGTGTGAGGGGCAGGGCTGCACACCCCACACAAATCCAGGTGGAAAGAGGACACCTCCAACTTGTGGTGTCAACCTGGCCAGGGGCAGCCTATGCACATGGCAACGAACACAACAGCTGGGCT